GTAATGAAACATCTGCAAGAAAACAAGCTCAGAGAGCAGCAAGGACCCTTAATTTTAATCCTGAGCTACAAATATTCTCCTTTATTAATATTGCTTTTAACACTTTTTTCATGTTTTCTTAGGAGAGAAACATTATGGAGTTATACAATCAAAACCAAAAGCTTTTGGACTTCAGTTTTTACAGCAAGATGGATGGCAGCTCAGAAACATGCTCTTTTGAATCTGCCCAGTTCCCTGGTTGGTTCATAAGTACGTCTTCTGAACCTAACAAACCTATCAATCTTGGTCAAAAAGGAGGCACAGGCATTACCCTTTTTTATTTTGAAACAAGTGAGAGGAAGGAAAAAGCGGAACTTGTCATTACGAGAATTATTTAAGACAAATGCCTACTTCAGGTTTTGTGGGAAATGTAGGTTTATTAGTAAGTAAAAGTTTCAGTTTTATACAATTGAGGATGCTTTTAGCAGATTGAGCAAAAATGTTGGAATTTCTCAGGTCATAAGACATTTAAGTAATGCCTACTTTTTCATATATCGTCAACATTATTCTTTGCTAAATAATAAAAATAGAATGATATCCTGTGGTTATATTTATTATTTGTTAAGAAACCCCCTTTGAGGGCACCCCAACAATTTGTGTGTGTGTGTATGTGTGTGTATGAAAGGAAGAACGAAGGGAAGAAGAAAGGAAAGAAAGAAAGAAAGAAAGAAAGAGGGAGTTGCAATAATGACATATACAGGTAGTCCTCAACTTACAACCACAACTGAACCCAACATTTCTGTTGATAAGTGAAACATTTGTTAAGTGAATTTTGCCCAATTTTATGATCTTTCTTGCCAAAGTTCGTAAGTGAATCACTGCAGTTGTTAAATTAGTGACACTGTTATTAAATGAATCTGGCTTCCCTGTCGACTTTGCTTGTTAGAAGGTCGCCAAAGTTGATCACATGGCCCCCCATTGCAACCATCAGAAATATGAACAAACGAGGGAGAAGGCGGAGCCACATTGCTGCGATACAGCTGCAATCTCGGGGCTCTGAGATTGCAGCTGATATCTTCGCCCCTGGTCAGTCCTAATGGACCTAAACCGTCCCGTAGAGACGGTGATAGTAAGGGGCGCGTTCTGCTGATCCCAGGGACATCGCAAAGTCCCTGGTTGATCCAGAAGAAGCCCTTTTACCATCGGCGGAGAGGCAGCCTTTAAGCTGCTGAAGCTGTGACAGCTCCGGAAGGAAGAGGCAGAAAGAGAAAGTGCATCGGCTGGTGAGAATCTTTTTTGGGGGGGACTTAAGGACACTCTAAAATGAGAAGAATCCTGTAAGACTTTGGACAAAAACTGATGAAACTGATTTAGCGGCGATTTTTTAAAGAGAATGCCAAATTGAGGCTTGGCTTTTTACTTTTACTTTTGTTTTCATTGAACTTCCATTGTGATCTAGTAACTGAAACTAGACTGGTTTTTTCTCTTATATTCACCTATTTTTTCTTTCTTTTTCCCCCCTTTTTTGACTGTTAAAACTTTGTAACACTGCCAACTAGAGGCTTGAAAATACTTCATTGGAAGTTGAGAGGGTTGTGAAGGAATCCTTTCTCAAGGACACTGGAACTTGATAAGATAGAGGGAAGAACACTGGAGGATGTTTTAACAGGTGTTCTTTGGAACTTCTATTACTAATTGAGTACTTGAAGTTTGGCTTTGGAATTTGTGGAGAAGCCATAATAAGAGCCTTGGATAACTAAATAAGATGCAGTGTGCTTTCTTTTTTACCTTCTTTTAGCTGTTTCATCCCTCCTCTTCAATCCCACAGTGTTTTGTAATATTTGTATATCTATTTTCTTTTTCTTTTGTTTGACTTTATTTTTAATTTTACTTTCTTCTTAAAGGGAAAGCCTCAGAATATTTTTCTTTTTGCTTATTGGGATTTTTGCCTTTTCTATTTTCTATTTTCATTTCTTATTTATTTTTATGGTTATTTTTTTATTTTTTGAGACCTTATAATTGGATTAAGGTGTGAAGAACCTGAAGAATTCTTTTTTCTTCTTCTTTTTTTTTATCATTGCTTTTTAATATTATTGGGTCTTACTCTCTTTTTCTTTTTCTTTTTTACTATTCTTAATTTTTATTTTTGAATCATAATTGACTATACCACAATAGGATTAAGGTTTAGAAGAACCTGAAGAATCTCCTCCTTTTTCTTTTTAATCTTCTTTTTCTCCTTCTCTTTTTAATCCTGGACTTATTTTTTATTGGTTTTTTTTTAAATGTTTTTCTTCTTCCCAACTGGATTATAATTGGCTACCCTATTAATTGGATTAAAGGAGCTTAAAGATCCTGAGTTATTCAAATGAGTAAGAAAACTTTACCTTCTGGCAGTTCAACTTCTGCTCCTGCTTCTCCATCAACAGGAGGACGACTATCAATAATGGCGAAGCAAGATAAAGTACAAATGGACCTAGCGACGATTATACAAGGAATACAAGAACTCAAAACGAGTATTGACCAAAGAACAGAGAGTATTGAACAAAGAATTGCGAAGACTGAAAATTTTCAACAAATGATGGCGAAACAGGAGGAGAGACTCCAAAAAATTGAGGAGAAAGACAAACAAAGAGATGAGACAATTGGAAATATTGTTAGCAAATTAACAACGGTGCAACAAGATATAACCGGGATGTTGAAGTGGGAGATGGATAGGTCAGAATTTTATCTCAGATTTCAAAATATAGAGGAAGAAAAAGGACAAGATTTGGCGGCTGTAATGATAGAAATTCTGGCTGGAGCTTTGGAGATAACAGAGGAAAAGATGATGGACGGAGTAGATGAGATATATCGTGTCTTCACAAGATATGCGATGAGGAATAAGCTACCAAGGGAGATCCATGTCAAATTTACTAAAAAGACTATTAAAACACAAATATTACAAGTCGCAAGAGATAAGGTGTTGAAATACAAAGGTAAAGAGATCATGGTTTTAAAACAAGTGCCCAGAAGAGTGAGAGAGATGAGAAGAGAATATCGATTTTTGACCAAAATGTTATTGGAAAAAGAGGTGAATTATAGATGGTTGATCCCAGAAGGATTAATGTTTATATGGCAAGAACAGAGACACAGAATCAACTCAATTGAGAAAGCAGAAATATTCTACAATGAATTTTTTGGAAGGAGAGAAATAGAGACAGAAAAAGAGACCATCTCAACTGAGCCTCAAGAAGACCAGATGGGAACGGGGAAAGAAGAAGGTGCGGTATGTGGACAAATGGAGACCAAAGAACAACGTGAAGTAAGATCTACAAGAACTGTTAGACCTAAATATAAAACATAACCATGGAGGAAAAAAAATTGATTTCTATGAATATAAATGGATTGAACTCAGCTATTAAAAGAAGAAAAATCTTTCATAAATTAGAGAAGTTAAAATTTGATATAATTTGCCTACAAGAAGTACATATTAAAAAACAACATCAACGATTATTGGTAAGACCAAAACTGGGGAAAATTTTTACTTCCTTGACTAACTGTAAGAAAAGAGGAGTGGTCCTGTACATTAAAGAAACTATTGCAGCAAAATTGATTTATACTGATGAAGATGGAAGAGTATTAATGGTTGAAATAGTGGATAACAATATAAAAACACTGCTTGTTGCAATTTATGCTCCGAATGATAAACAAGAAGAATTTTATAAAAAGTTACATATGAAATCAATTGGACTGGACCATGTCAATATAATTATGATGGGAGATTTTAATGGAATTGTAGATAATAAATTGGACTATACAGCGACAGCATTAAAACAAAGTAGAAAGACTCTCCCTAAATCTTTTTTTAAAATGGTAGATGAATTACATTTAAAAGATATATGGAGAGAAAGAAATGGTAAAACCCAGCAATAT